CCTAGGAGCTGCTTATAAACAGGGATGTGACATTTGCTAGCTCTTTGCTCTTTCTGAAGCAAAGAGTGGTTGAAGCCATTGGTCACATGCCACAGTAAAAAGCACAGAAATTTCTTACTTAAAATTCCGCAGATATTTTGGCTGAACTTCTTCTGCTCCTGTCAATTTCTTAGAAAGTGCTTCCTAAAAATAGCAAGTGTATTATTTTATATTGAGTAATTTATTTTACTACTTCTTCCAAAGACACTAAATGACACTGACTTTGGGAAAAACCATTAATCATGAGCAGTATATAGTCAGAAAGTTTACAAAAGGAAAAAGTGTCCCTCTAAGTGCACACTGTAACAAAACTCTTTTTCTTAAGTAATATCAACTTTCTACAAGCAATTTTTCCATCCCTTTGTCTTTAGTGCCAGCATGAGCACTAAGTTTCCTGTGTAGGCAGAGTCATATCTGTCAGAGAAGTTTTAAGTCAAAGTCTGTGATATCTGACAATGCTAAAAGATGACATCAATCCCTCAGACAAAGTGCAGTAGAAAGTTGGAAGCAATGTTGCCATTAAAAAATAAACTACAGGTTTTATGACACATCCTCTCACTGGACAAGGTGTATGTATGGGAAAAGCATATGCATGTGCCATAGATGAAAATCAGTTAAAGAAAAATAACAAGAAAAGTCAAAATACCAATCTGTTACAATAGGTGAGACAGAAACTGCCTCTTTAACAACATTTAAATAGTTTGCTGTTAGACAGAGATGCTAAAAATTGCACCTGTGAGCAGCAGCTATGCAATGATCTAACTGGTAAGAGAGCATCAAATGTGTAATCACTGTAGCTCTATTCCCAGAAATCTCAATTTAAACAATTGACAAAATTTTAACTTTATAAAGGTCTTTCAATCGTGCTTAATGATTTGGATATCTAATATTAGCATCCTGATAAGTTGAGGTGTGCACAACAGTTTAAAGGACAAATACATAAGGCACAGAAAGAAAGCAGAGGCAGAAGCCCTGAGGGCAAACTGTCTTCTTTGGACTATGGCCATTAGTGAACTGCTGTACATGCTCTTTTGGGGGAGTAATCTATGCTTTAGGTTGGTATTTCCTTAACTCCAGCTATGCTGCTTGATTTACATGTATCACGTTTAATGCCTCTTTGCTGGACTCAATAGGATGAGGAGTAACAGTTTCAAAATGAAAGAGGAAAGATTTAAACTACATATTTGAAATAAATTCTTCACTGTGAGGGTGGTGAGTCACTGGAACAGGTTTCCCAGGGAAGCTGTGGATGCCCCACCCCTGGAAGTGTTCAAGGCCAGGCAGGATGAGGCTTTGAGTAACTGATCTAGTGGGAGGTGTTCCTGTCCGTGGCAGCAGGGTTGGACTTGATATACTTTCAGGTCCCTCCCAACACCTACCATTCAGTGATTCTATAATTCTGTGATTCTATGATGCTTCTTTGGGAACTGAAGAGAATTTGAGCATTTTCTTGTCTGTGCCATGCATCAATCAGCAGCATAGCTCCATTACTGCCAGCAAAGCAAGCTGCTGGGGCACCAGGGGGCCAGCACCACTGTGCACCCCAGGTGATGCTCAGGGGGTTTCTCTGGCAGGACTTGTTGCTGGGACCCAGCACACTTTTCCCATGTGGTGTGAATGCATGGTCCAGTTGTTCTCCTTCCAGCTTCAGCTGCTTTTCAAGGATTATTAAGGTAAAAAATGATAAAGAAAAAATGTAAAGCTGTTCCAGATGAGTTGCTGTCTGTAAGATCCAGACTGCAAAAGCCAGGCTCAAAGCTTTGGCCAGACTTAGTGCTATGAGTTCAAACAATGCAGCTTTGTTTCTGCTGGAGAGATTTGTTACCTTCCCCTCCCTCTCCCTTCTCTACATCACCTGGTCTATTGAGCTTACCCACTACAGAAAAAAATTCCTGTTTTCAGATACTAAGGGGAGATCTGGCAGCAGCAGCAGCAGAGTGGGAGCTGTCTGAAATGTCACCAGGATTTCTCTGGTTCCTGCCCTGCCCATTGCACTGCATCGCAGGTGCTGAGGCATCACTTGGACCCACAGCTTCACTGCAGTCATTTCAGCTCAAGCCTTGAGAAACTGCATCAGCCAAAAGTGCTCCCATCTGTAACAGGGATTAAATCCTGCTCAATCCCACAGGTTTTGCAGTGTGAATATGAGTTCATAGTCTGTGAGGTGATGAGGTACTATGATTAGCCAGGCAATACCAAATGTCGAGATAATAGCTAGACCAGTGACACCCTCTCCAGTTCTAAACTGTGCCAGCAAGATTTGCTCAGATGATGATTAATTTAATTTTTTTTTTAAAGAGTTTAGTTAAAAATTCTGAGTTGAAACGAGACCCAGTTGTTGTTGTTGTTTGTTTCTTCTTGCAGCTCTCTGGCCAGGTGGGTGCTGAGCTCCAGGCCAGCCACTCGTGCATGGCTCCCAGCAGCCGGCTCCTGCTGCAGCGCGGCTCAGGGCACCCTCCTGGGTGCCTGGCTGGAGGCAGCTGCCCAGCCCAGCCATTCAAGTTCACTGGTGCTCCAAAACGATGCAAAGCAGAACTGGGCACAAAACTAATGGGTCTGGAGGATGGCAGGGTTTGGAAAATGCATGCATGTAGAGCTGAATGGATTTCTTGCTTACCTCTCTGTCTTTCTAAAGTTCACGATGTTAAAAAAAAAATCTTAATTTAAATGAACCATCTCAATTTGAAGTTAGGAAAAAATGCACTCCAATTTTTTTGGCTTAGAACAACGTATTCTGTTATTTATACTAGTTACAGAAATTGCATTTTAATGTCTTTCCGTATAGCCCATCAGAGGACAGCAACTGCCTTGTTGCACAAATCTTTCCATGGAAAGTGAATATTTCAGAGGATTTAGTACACTTACCCTGTCTGACCAAGCTGTAGCTCTTAAGCTGTTCAGATGCTTATGAGAGACATCAGCACAAGTCCTTTCTAACACTTTATTTCCTGGTGTATGTTTGCAGGACCTTATGGCTGGGGGGGAGAGGAGAGGCCAGC